TATATATATATATATATATATGTATATATATATATATAGTAGGATCTTACGATCCGATTCACGATCTTACGATGTTACGATCTTCACTATGCTTATCGATCCTACGTAGAATCTAGAGTTTGACTACCTTGGCTGGCAATAACTCCAAGGATGTTCCAACACAAAATGGACAAGAAGAGGCTGCTGCAAATGTTCAACCTGAACATGAAGAGGAGTTGGATGTCACCAATTTGGATGAGGGAGACGAAGATGAAGATGAAGATGAAGATAAAGAACTTGAGGATTATGATTTTAGCATTGATAATTATGTTTTAGATGTTTAAGTATAAAGTTTTAGGTCATTTGTGATCCAACTTGAACTTGTGTTATGTTTTAATAAAATTTAATTAAAAAATTAAACGTATATATATATATATATACATATATATATATATATATATACACATACATATATATATATATATATATATATATATATGTATATATATATATATAGTAGGATCTTACGATCCGATTCACGATCTTACGATGTTACGATCTTCACTATGCTTATCGATCCTACGTAGAATCTAGAGTTTGACTACCTTGCTTATATGTACCTCCTCCCTCAGTTCTTGGTGTTGTTATTTGCCACTCAGATGCTATACTACAAAATATCAGCAAACTCTGTTCAGATGAAAGTGATTCTTCTGAACTGGACTTTGATAATCCATTTGATTTTTGTGATGAATCCCTCATCATTTCTAAATCGCCATTGATTTCTATTTCTGATGACGGAAGAGTATGGAAATGGCTCCTGATTGCACAAGGATCCGGTAGCACTCAAAAGGGTAAAACAAAACCTGGCACTGCAGTGGAAGTTCATAAATCTCAAATCCAGGAAGAAAATCCTCAGGAAAATATTTTTCCTAGTGATATGTTAATGAAATCAAATGGTGCAATTAGCAATAGTGGATGTTTTTCAAATGCTTCTAAAAACGACAAAGAGTTGTTCAAGATTTGTATGTACGCTTACATATTAGTCCAGGAACAATATTTTCTTAACCCTTGTTATTCTGCCCATGAAGTCTATTATAATAGCCAAGTCATGATTGTTGGTCAATCATTTGTCTGATGCTCACCTATTTTAAGTTTTGACCAACCCACAACTACAGGGAACCCGGTATAAACCCAACTTCATTGGGGTCTTCAATACACAACCTAACCGTTGAAAAGCAAGGAGCTTTTTGGCACTAGGATAAACCCCCTTTTTTGTATGTGAAAACCGTAACACAGCAAAGATTAACTTGCACAATTTATGGTTGAAGACAGGGATAAACAACATACAAGTAATAGCCTAATATGTCTTATATGTATTTTTTGACATGCTTCATGAGATGGTATCATGGTAATACTTTTGTAGATAAATGTGCTTTAGTAATGAATAAGAGAATGCATACATACATACATACATACATACATACATACATACATACATACATACATACATACATACATACATATATATATATATATATATATATATATATATATATATATATATATATATATATATTATATGGGTGGGGTTCCAGTGCCACTGGAATACGGTGCCACTAGCGGTGCCACTGGTATTTTGGGGCACCTCCGGTGCTCCGTTCGCAAAATTGACGGTTCCTACCCCCCCTAACCCACCCCCTAAACCCCCCACCCTACCCCCGCC